TAGCTATGAAAAACAACGACAATAAACATCGTTGTCAATGATTGATGCAAATGTCACTTCTATTTTATTGATTAAAATGTTTCTTCATCTCAACCATTAATGATCTATCAAATCAAGACTTGAAGCATCTTAATTAACTTATACATCTATAAACAAATTTCATTGAATATTGACTTCGATCAACAACATAGCCTAGTTTTGCTTTGTTTGAACAGTGTGTCAATAATGTGGCTAAACAGAAGCATACCATTAAATTGCAATAAGAACATCAATCATCGAAGCTACACGTAGGAATGTTTGTACTATCGGATATTAAATCATGCTTTATGAAAGTCTTTGTCTTACAAAAAAAAAAAAGAAAAATGGATTTCTTTATGAGCGATTTTCTTGAATACAATATCTAATTTTGATTTTTCTTTTATCAATGCTGATTTGATAAGAATCTTATCCGTAATAACTATGGATTCATGAATATTATCGATTCGTTTCATCAACATTTGTAATTTTAATGAATATCAAGCAGAAGATAAAAATACTTATTCTTTTTTTTTTTTCTACAGATTCTATAGTTTGCATCGATCAGATGAAACCAATCAGCCATAATAATAATTAGTTTTGACAAGAGAATTTATTTTTAAACCAGTTTTAGTCATTTAGAGTTTCAGAAGTTTATCGTATGGATGCAAAAAGAAATATTTCATATTATACAATATGACATTGACTTAGTAAAATACTGATAAGATTAGATTAATTCGACCCGATTAAACATTTCTATAAGTAATTGTCCAACAAAACAACTAATCAAAAACGAAAGATACATTTATGTCATCAACTTCTTTGGATAAATGATTTTTTAAAAGAATAATTCTACAGTTATTATATTTCTTTGCTTTAAATCATACTAGCTTAGTTGTTTCTTATAGTAACATCAACTATATTTATAGAAGATTTCTCAAAAAAGTTCTTTTTTAAGATTGAAGTATGTTTATTATCTGAAAATAATCTGCAACTGAGAATATATAAGTAGACTATTGAAAACATGACAACAAAGACCTAAATGATCCATATTAATTAAAGATAGATGAAAATTCTGCGTGCGCGTGTTTCATAATTCTAGCTTATTGACAACGCAAACAAACATAACTAACCGACAAAATAATTGATACATGTAATCCTTATCGAACTTTCTGTATCTTAATTAAAAGAATATGTTTTTAATGTTATTTTGTATAGCTACTCGATAGACTTCAGAGAGAAAATATCTCAAAAAAAATAAAAATAAAAATAATACAAACGAAAAATTTACTTCGTCACACAATTAGCTATAATCATTGGTATGCATTGACATAGAAAAATAGGGCAATATGACTATATGAATAGTTCTTTTGATATTGAGCAATTAAAAACAATTATACATTATTTAATAACATAGACTTCAAGATGTTGCTCCTCACTTTGTGACTAATCAACGATAATTATCTTGTTTTATTTATGTGCATAATAATATGACGAACCGTGTTTTATGCCTATTAATAATTATTATCAAAACATGTATAAGAAATAACATTTTTCTTTCTTTCTTTTTTTTTACCTTGGTAATGATTTTTTAACAATATTTACTAAACGAAAAATAACAATCATTATCGACATATTTTGAATAAGCTTCGATAAAACTTAAGTATATCCATTGAAGAAAAATAAATGGATCATAGTGTGTATATTTTTTTCGATAAAACTATGACCCGTTTATGTTTCAGACAGAACAGTAAGTACAGAGCATGCTGACATTGTAGTCAATTTTTGTAAATCGTGGTTCAAGGTTATCTGATTATGATTCGTTTATTAATAGATTATGATAATGAAAAACTAACAAATGACAAATACGCTCTTTCGTATTAAAATTACTTTTATCAAAAATATGAATTTACACAAGCTATAAGAACTAACATGATTATTATAATCGTTTGTTTCTTGATAAGAAACTAACTGTCAGATTTAGCAGAATGGTTTTTCTATGTTCTTTTGCTTTTTATTTTGTTTTTGGATTAATAATATGTGATGAAATGTTTCTTTAGTAATTAGAATAGATTAATCTGTCGATCGAATTATTATCTTTATTGATAAATTCATCCATAAAAAAATCTTTGAAAAAAACAACAAAAAACAAAAAAAGAATTCTTATCTACACTACTGTAACAAGTGTTACATTACTGTTATCTATATATAAGGAAGTACGAGAAGAAAATACATTTATTTTCTATGTTCACAAGAGAAAATATATCCGTAAGGCACAAGTAATTATTAAAGATTTTGTGACGTTAATAAGAGGAAAAAAACAGAGATAAAGATAGAATAGCATATTCTCTTTTTTCTTTGCAGTCAATTTCAAATAGTTGACGTCGTTTATTCGATAAAATAAACAACTGAGAAGTTTTCTTTTCTTTTTTTTCTTCCTTTGAGCTCATATTTAAACACCTCCACAGTTACGAGGAAGAATGAGTAATAATAAATAGCCAGTTCTTATATAATAGTTCGTCGTTTTTTTGAAGTTGCTTTGTGTTTTGTTTTGGTCTCTTTTATTTAATATTTACGGTGAATCAAGTTATTAATATTTCGTGTAATTGAATTCATTTAATAATTGTTTTTTATGCTTATTTTTACATACATTATAACTGCATTAAATAAGAAATAAAATTCAAAGGTATAAATATATATATTTTTTTCGTTTTGTTTTATTATTCTTTGCTAAGTACTTCGAAAAAATTTCACTGTACTTTTTTTTTTGTAATCATGACTTAAGTAGCATACACAATACACTAAGATATATTGTGTAAGTCAGTTGATCGGATCATCAAATTCATCATGAATCGATACCTATTTCTACTATTTTCTTTTTTTTTTTTTGCATGATACTCGATTGAAAGAACTCTATCGCTAACAATGATCATATATGATAGGAAGAAAATAACATCATTTAATCATGCTCTATCTCGTAAAATGAATGAATGCTTTTGTATTCATAATGAAATGCAAACATAGAATTCAGTCTGTTCCAAAAACAGCATTGTTATTAAATAATCGAGTATATTGTTCCATATAACCAGAAGTACTACTGTAATAAAGGAAACTGAGTTTTATTTACGAAACGATTGATCGGCAGTTTTTTCATTAATAAGTGATACTGTTTTAAGATTGGTTTTTTTTTATTAATTTGGTCAGAATTTCACATGATAGAATTTTTATTATATTCAAATAAAATATAAATAATAATTTTATAGATTACAATGATTATAGTTCAAAAAATCACATAAAATAATATATACAAATTCAAGTAAATAATTTTCTTTCAAATGATTGTTTCCAATCGAGAGAAAATACTTATTTCTCTATATCACCATATGCTAACTGTTCTTTCTGTTCACACTATTTGGCTTTTGAATTATATGAATATTAAAGAAAATATTGGTTTAAATAGTTGTAAACAATACTTTGCACTGAAGAATTTACATCAAATTTTTTTTGCTGAATAAGACATCTTTCTTTTTGGTCTAGATTTTTTCCTATCATTGACGTTCTTGATCGCTTTGTATCTTAATGGGTATGCACTACGCGTTGTGTTTTCTTGATACCAATGAGAACATTAATGTGCATCGCTTGTTCGTCTTCTTTTTTTTTTCTTTTTCTTCGCTTCTTTTTTTTTCATCAAAAAAAAAAAGAAAGAAACGGCAATGTAACATACAGAAACTCGACGACAATATGAAGAGGAGACAACATACGTAGAGTCGTAAAGAGTTTGGAATGCGTTTAGATATTTGGTGACAACGTTCTATGAACATTAAAAAGTTATTATGAACTAGATGACGTTTAATTTTGATAAACATCCATCATTCGCACGCGATAATCTTCCTTTTCAACATCACATGAATTCTACTGGTGAGTGTTAAAATAAATTTCAAATAGGTATATTATTCGAAAAAAATTTTTTTTTGCTTTTTTTCTCCGATTCTAGTTGATTCTTTTTTTTTCGTGTTTAACTGTGTTTATTCGATTACTCTTTAAAAAGAAAATGAAGCGATAACAATAGTAGATTGCCAAATTAGATATCCAATGTTGTCTTATTTTCTCAAATAAGCAGTCTGATTCTATTAGTCGGTCGTTAAGAATACGAAATATATATAATTTATTCGAAATGTCTTTCATTTGTTCCGGATGTATATAAAATATTTCTTTGCTAGGTTAGCAAATTCTTCTATTTATATTGCATCAAGAAAGTCTTCCATTTCCTTTATCAAATATCTTTTTATATAAAATTATACAGTAACATATCTTATATAGCGATCGTCTAAGACAGTTCTAATGTGATGTATTCATAAAATAGAAGCAAACGAATGTTTGAATGAATTCATAAAATAGCTTTTAGATTTTCTTTCTTTTTTACTTTTCACTCAATATAAAAAGTTGGTTTGTTTTAAAATGAAAGTCATTTCAATGCATTGACAAAAAAGTTTTTTGCATAAAGAGTAAAGTAAAGCAATGAAAAGATTAAAAAAAAAACCTACAATAAAAAAGAAAACTCTTTTTTGACGATCGTCAATTTGTTTCTTTTTTAATGCATGAATGAATTCTTCATTTGATTTGCATGGATTATTTATACATTGTTGCCTGTTGAATTAATAACGAAGTGAGTTGGCAAACATTATTGAGTAGGAGTATGTCAATGTAAGGATTATACGACACAATCGTCAATCGTTTTTCTATATTCCCGAGATGCCATTACCCACCTACTCTTTTGATTCTTAAAAAACATATCTTTACCGGTGGAGGCGTAAGCTTAACTAAAAGAAAAAAAAATCATTTATTTTCATTTGGTATCCTATAGATTAATAAATGACAAAACAACAATCAAACGTTTATATACTTAAATTTTCATTAATATGAGCTAAACAATGATCGCCGTCGATAAAAGATGGGATCGATTTATCAATAAATCAATTTGAAACATGTCAACAAATGTTATTACAAAAAAAAATTCAACAACATCAACCACCAATACATCTAATACAACATATCTTTCAATGATGACACCTAATGTTTCTAGTACTAATGTCACAAATACTAGCACTAATAAACGACGTGAAAGTTCAACTGGTGAAGATTCCGTAAGTGAAAAATCAAATAATTTATGTTTAGTAAATAGGAATAAAAGAAGAAGCCTAGTTTACTTTATTATGTGATAAAAACACCCTGGTTAGATGATTGCTTGCCTGTTTACTAAATCATTTATTCCGATCGGATGAGCAACTCACCCGGAAATCGGTAGAGAGCAGCACCACCATAGATGAATCAAGGATGTGCGTCATTTCTTCCGGATTTTCTATCATCTCATCTATGCATGCAGAACACGACAAGGTTAAATCACGCGCATCCGCAAGATAGCTTGCATACACACACACACACCCTCATTGCGAATTCTCTCAATCGATCAGCAATTAATGTACTCGTCTTCTCATAAATAGGATTAGGTTTTTCTTGATGAAGGGTACGACGCATCTATATAAATATGTGGGTGGTTTGTTTTTTCTTGTATGCTGCAGGAGATCGCTCTTATTTATAAAGACAATCTTATTTTGTTGCTTTTGAAAGTGTGCATAACATGTACATAAGATTTAGTGTCTCTCATTTAATGTCGTTATTGATGATGAGTGAATCAATAGGATAAGATAGAAAGTAATTATATTTGTATGTACACATTCAAGTTGAGACACAATAATATATATTTATATATATATATGTGCTTGTGTATTCATTCAATAGGAACAACCATACATGTCCCATCAAATCGAATAAGATATCGATAGACAAAAACAAAAAGAAAAACAAGAATAGATGAAAAATCCTTGTTTTCTCTATTTTTTTTTTGATTTTCTTTCTTTTCATTCGTATTTTTTTTATTCTTATTAATCACTATGATATAGAGAAACTCAACAGCTGTCTTATATCATTAGAATCTAAACTATTATTGTTACTTCAATTATAATTATAACGATTTTTATTATATTGCAATGGCATTACGTGAGAATAAATTAATAGGATTTGTTTTAATTTTGTTTAATTTTTTTTTAAAATGAACTATTTTTAAACATATCAAATTTCATATTACTATTATACTAATACTATCTGCTTAATCTATCTATTAAAAGAGTTCAAATGGTTATATTGACCTTCGTTGATCTAGACGTTTTTATTTTGTCTTCCTCTATGTTACATGCTATAGTCTTATATTAATAGGTTCAAAGAAGAATTACGCTAAATACTAATCTTTTTATCTAGAATATAAAGTATTAGTTTATAGAGAAATGAGATAAGTACTTCTATTATGCTTATTAAAAAAAATAAATATGTGCATGTTAGTCAAAATACAGCATACAAAGAAATATCTATATGAACTTTGTTTTCAATTAGAAAAGTTTAAAAAAACTTCACAACGCTCTTTGCAATAGAGTCATAGTTTAGATTATAAAAGAAAAATGTTTTTTTTTGTTTTCTTTTTCTCTGTTTTTTTTTTATATTTTCATTCAATTGTCATATGGGGTACTTTTTTTTGTGAAATATACTTAATAAGCAAAATGACGTGAACATATACATGCGTCATCAATAATTATGGAGTAGGAGGATGAGACAATTATTTTTGAAATGTTCTCTTGAAGCAACGTTTCTTGATGATTATTATCAACATGAAGACTACGGAAACTTACGCATATATAATTCCTCTTTTTTTCCTGTTTTTTTTTTTTGTCCGAATAAATGATTCCAAAATCCGTCAGTTATATAACACAAGGTTATTATCATTAAAACTAACGCCTTAAGGTTGAGTTCTACTATAGTTCACTAAAAAAAATATGTCCCTTGCTATATATTTAATCCTTATGTCTGCCCGAAAGTCAAACTAATGTTTATAAAATATAGACTGATGTTATTGTTTTTCTTGAAACTTTGCCATTTGTTACTAGCTCATTATCAGATATTGTCTCTCCTTCAAATCAAGGTCTTCCTATAGCCTATTATTAACTTTCGTATATAATACAGAAAAACTGTTTTTTTTTCTAATGATAAAAATGTAAGAAGAAGGAAGTAAGAACAACTTTTAAATTTGTGCCTAAAGAAAAAGCAAAGTCACATTCAAGTATATATGATGAATCATATGTACTCTTCGAGTTTCATACTAGGCAAAAAACATAACAATGGGCTGTTACACAGATTTATTACCAAATATCAATTTTACTCATTGATTTCTTTTCTTTTGAGTCATGACTATTATCTCAAGGATTTCCCTGCAAACTTTTTCATGTATATATATATAGATCTATATATATACGTTATGTTTCTTTTTTTTATTAATGAGATACGCTGATGTTGTAATTATTATTAGAGATTTACGTCATTTATTGAACAATGTAATGATTTCTTGTTGACGTCACTATCTAGTACGACTACGACTAACAGAGAAAAATGAAAGACCTTGTTCGCTCGTCCTGGCATACGTTAGTATATATAAATATATAAGCAAATGCTTTGATTTCTTTCTATTGATGGGCTTACATGTGACGTCGATTGTCCGTCGCGCGGTCGATGATGACGTCGTCAAGCGAAGAGAATGAGCGCATCAAAGAAAAGACGACATATAGATTATATACATGCGCGCTTAAGCTTGTATTCGAGTACTGAAGCAAGAGATAGTTTTTTAGCCAATGATCATCATTGAAAGAAAAGAACAGAACTGTGACGTCAAACTAATGCATTTGTTTTCCTTTCTAATGTAATCGCATCTTCATTTGAGACAAAGTGCGTACGCAAGATACAAGCACATTTCTTTTTTTTTCTCTATCTCTAAGTCAGATTTACTTTATTCGTTTATTTTGCTTCTTCTTTTAATAGGGTGTTCAAATAGATCACGATAGTATAATTAAAAATGCTCATCTATCGATAACTAACTCCTCAAATATAGTGCCTTCTTTATTATTATCATCATCATCATCATCATCATCATTAACATCAAAAACAATCGGCACAACGACGGCGCCGAATCCCAATTCCGTAACTACTTTTAGTAGCAATAGTACGATGGTCACATCATCGACTCTTATTCCACCATCTGTGGATACTAAAACATCATCATTATTACCTCGTAAAACGTCAAATGCATCAAGTTCAGGTACTTTTTCTGAAGTATCTCGTTCATTTGGTCATGAAGAAAATTCTGCAGATTCATTATATGGTTTAACATCATCATCATCGTCATCCCATTATATTATTAAATGTACTCTAAATACAACAACAACAACACCAACAATTACTAATACAAATACATCATCGATGTCGACTACGTTGCCGACGTTATCACCACCGGTGATATTGACACCACGTGTTAAAGTAACTGTTCAACAACCATCAATAACAACATCATCATCACGTATTGATTCATCAGCTGAATCAATTCCATCATCATCATTTCTTAAAACTCCAACATCAAATATTTTACCTATACTTTCACCATCATCACATACGACAACAAGTGCAGCATCAAGTGTACCCGAATTTTCTATAAGTGGTACATCAAGTATTGATGATTCAGAAGAATTAGCATTATATGAACAATATCTTTCAATATCTTATGGACGACAATCAAATCCTTCACCTGAAATACGTAAAATAACTGTTGACGATGTAACTAAAATACAACAAAGAACATTACCTCGTAGTAAAAGTGAAGCAAATACTTTACCAATAGAACAATCACAATCACAGCAACAACAACAACCACAGCAACGACAACAACAACAAACAACAACTAGTCAAATAAAACCGGTAAGCAAATTTTCTTCTTATGATCTGACATTTTGTTAGATCATTGTTGTTAACCTTCTAGACTATGTTATTGTCTTATTATTAATGTCAGAAATCTGATTGATAGATCGATATTATGATTTAAAATATTGCTATTGTCGTTATTGTATGACTAAAAAAAAGAAAAAACTCATTCATTA